TTTAGCAGGAGAGTAGAGTAAACTGAGACTTACGGAAGTGAAGTAAAGATTATGTTGTGAAGAACTGAGGAAGCTGGGATGATCTGACTCTTGCGTGTGGACTTTTAATAACTTTACTTACTTTACGTGCTCATTAATATATGGGTTCGAGAAGAGTAAAAAAAGCTAACCTTTCAACAAAATAATTAAATCAGGCAAACTGTTCCTTGCGCCATTGATCAGGGAGACTTGGCAGTGTTTGGATTTCTAATTAAATCAGGCAGATTTAATTAGGGTTCCTAGGGCTTTCTCCCTGTCCTGTGGAAAGTTTTGTGGTGAGTTTCATATGAGAATATAAACCAGTCCTGGGCTCCTGTAGGCAAACTTGTGACATCAGCTACTGAATTTGACACCTTTTTGGGCTGGGGTAGTGGTGAACTGACAGAAGTTTATAACAACCCATGACTGAAGCAATCAGTTGCAGGTACCTGTTTACTTGTCAATCTTTTCCCCCAAACTGACAGCTGTGTAATAGCAGGGATAGTGTCTGTCTAATTTATTAACCTTAAAAGGTGGGAATGGGTTATGGGAGGCGTTCAGCAGTGTCTTCCAAGCACTCACATGTGAAAAAGAAGACATTTCACACGAACGGCTCTTACGGTGGCATCGTTGGTATTTGCAAACAATTTGGAAGGATATCTCGGTTATTTCTAGTTTTTGATTATTACAAATATAGCTGCCATAAACATTTGCGTATAATTGTTACATAAATGTAAATTTTCATTTCTTGGGAATAAATGCTCAGGAATGCTTTTGTTGGTTTGTGCGGTAGGTGCGTATTTAACTTTTAAAGAAACTATTAAACTGTTTTTCAGAGTGTATGTACTCTCTTACATTCTGATTAGCAATACATGAGTGACTAGATTTTTTCTTAATCTTCAATAGTATTTGGTGTTGTCACTATTTTTTAATTTAGCCATTCTGATAGATGTCTAGTGATATCTCATTCTGGTTTTAATTTGTGTCTTTTCAATGGTAAACAATATCAAACATCTTTTCATGTGCTTATTTACCATCTGTGTATCCTCGTTCCTGAAATGCCTCTACATGTCTTTTTCCCATTTTCTAATTGGATTTTTTTTCAGTTAAATTTTGGGTGATGTTTATATATTCTACATCTTTGTTTGATATGTGGTTTGCAAATACGTTCCCCAGTCTATAGTTTGTCTTTTTTCCTCTTAACAGGGTTTTCATGGAGCAAAATTTTTTATATTGATGAAGTCCATTTTATCCATTTTTATTTTATAGACTTTATATTTTACATGTTTTTTTCCTGAAAGTGCCGTAGTCTTACATTAAAGTCTATAATCCATTTTGAGTTAATTTTTGTATAAGGCGTTAGACTTAGGTTGAGGTTAACTTCCCCTCCTTCTGGGTATTCAGTTATACCAGCACCGTTTGCCGAAAAGGCTATTTCTCCATTGGATGGTTTTTGCATTTAGACATATGTATATTGGTCTATTTATTAGTTCTCTATTCCATTGATCTATGTACATCACCACCAATTTCACCAATATCAGTCCTGATTATTATAGCTATAGACTAAGTGTTGAAAGCAGGTGGTCTGATTCTTCTAATTTTTCTTCTTTTTCAAAACTGTTTTAGCTATGGTAGTTCCTTTGCTTTTTCATTTAAATTTTAGAAAAAGTTTCCTTATATTTAAAAAAGTATTGCCAGAATTTAGATAAGGATCACCTTAAACTTATAGATCAATTTGGGAAGAATTGATATCTTCACTCTTTTGACTCTTTCAATCCATGAACACCATTCATCCCTCATTTATTTAGATGTTTGATTTCTTTCATTTTGTAGTTTTTAGCATACTGGTCTTAACATATTTTGTTAGATTTACACTTAAACATTTCATTGTTTTGAGTGGTTATAAATGATATTTTATTTATAATTTGTTAGTTTATACAAATACAGGGATCATTGTGTGTTTATCTTATACAAACTTTCTGTGCTCACTTATTAGTTCCAAGAGTTTTTAATTTTTGGGTTGTTTTTTTGGTAGATTCCTTAGGATTTTCTACATGGACAATTGTGTCATCTGCAAATAGATATAATTTTACTTATTCTTTTTCTATCTGAATGCCTATTAATTATTTTTCTTGCCTTACTGGATTTGCTAAAATTTCTAGCATTATGTTGAACAAAAGCAGTAAAAGGAGTATCTTTGCCTTGATTCTGATCTTAGGGGAAAGGCATTCAGTCTTTCACCATTAAGTATAATGTCAGCTATAGGCTTTTGTAGATTTTCTTTACCAACTTGATAACCTTCTCTCTCTATTTTCCTGAGAGTTTTAAAAAACCATAAATGACTATTGAATTTTGTCAAAGGTTTTTTTCATAGATTGATATAATCATGTGATTTTTCTTCTTTAGCCTGTTAATGTGGTGAGCTGTTGAATATCAAACCAGTCTTGTATCCCTGGAATAAATTTGACTTGGTCATAGTATACAATTCTTTTGTAAATATTGCTGAATTCTGTTTGCTAATATTTTGTTAACAACTTCTGCATTTCTACTCATGAAGAATCTTGGTCTGTGAATTTCTTTTCTTTTTTTGTATTGTCTTTGTCTGGTTTTACTATCAAGGTATTATTAGCTTCATAAAATGAACGGGGAAATGTTCCCTCTTTCGTATTTTCTGGAATAGATTGTAGAACTAGTGTTAATTCTTCTTTAACATTTGCTAGGATTATCTAATAAAAAGATCTGGGTCTGGAGATTTCTTTTTGGAGAGTTTTAAAATGATAAATTACATTTCACTAATAGTTATGAGACTAAGCAAATAATTACTACATATTGGTTAAGGTGAGGTAATCTGTACGTTGCAAAGAATCGGTGCATTTAATCTACGTTGTCAAATTTATGTGTGTAGTTCATAGTATTCCTTATTATGGGTTTGATATCTATGAGATCTGTAGTGATACTCCCTGCTTCATTCCCAATATTGGTAATTTATGTCTTCCCATTTTTCCTTTGCCAGTTTTGCTAGATGTTTGTCATTTTATTGCTCTTTTCACAGAACCTGTCCTTTGTTTAAATTTCTCTACTGTTTTTTTTTTTTTTTTTTTTTCGATTTCATTTACTTCTTTTTAAATCTTTATTGCTTTCTCCCTTCATTTGCTTTCTGGATTCTTGAGGTGGGAGCTTAGATTGTTGATTTGAAACTTCTTTTTTCAAAATATGAATTTAGTGCTACAAATTTTCCTCTCAGTGTTGCTATTAATATGTTCCATAACTTTTTATGTGTTATATTTTATTTTTTCCAGTTTAACATCGTTTTAAAATTTCCTTTGAGACCTCTGTTTTGACCCATAGATTATTTATTTATTTATTTATTTAATTTTTTTTGAGACAGAGTCTCTCTCTAGTGCCCAGGCCGGAGTGCAATGCGCGATCTTGGCTTACTGCAAACTCTGCCTCCAGGGTTCAAGGAGTTCTCTTGTCTCAGCCTCCCATGTAGCTGGGACTACATGCATGTGCCACCACGCACAGGTAATTTTGTATTTTTAGTAGAGACGGGGTTTCACCATGTTGGCCAAGTTGGTCTCGAACTCCTGACTTCAGGTGATCCACGAGCTTTGACCTCCCAAAGTGCTGGGATTACAGGAGTGAGCTACCAAGCCCAACCAGATTATTTAGACTTTTTTAGTTTCTAAATGTTAAGAATTTTTCTCCTAATCTTTCCGTTATTTTTTTCTAGCTTGATTTCATTGTGGTTGGATAACACACTACGATTTTCAATTCTTTTTTTTTTTTTTAGACAGAGTTTTGCTCTTGTTTCTCAGGCTGGAGTGCAATGACACTATCTCTGCTCACTGCACCTTTGCCTCCCAGGTTCAAGCGATTCTCCTGTCTCAGCCTCCCAAGTACCTAGGATTACAGGCATGTGCCACCACGCCTGGCTAATTTTTGTATTTTTAGTAGAGATGGTGTTTCTCCACGTTGGTCAAGCTGGTCTTGAACTCCTGACCTCAGGTGACCCCCCGCCTCGGCCTCCCAATATGTTGGGATTGCAGGTGTGAGTCACTGCACCGGCTGATTTTCAATTCTTTTAAATTTGTTGAGGTTTTTTTTTTTTTGGTTGGCTTAGGATATGGTCTATCTTGATGTATATTCCATGGGCTCCAGAAGGTAATGTGTATTCTGTTGTAGCTGTTGGGTAGAGCATTCTCTCCACCTCATTTGGGTCCTGTTAGTTCATAGGATTGTTGAGTTCTATGTCCTTGCTGACTTTCTATCTAGTTATTCTATCAGTTGTTGAAAGAATGGTGTTAAATAAAGCCTCCAACCAAAACTGTGAATTTGTATGTTTCTTTTTTCAGTTCTATCACTTTTTACTCCACATATTTTGCAACTTTGTTGTTTGGTACATATACATTTAGGTTTGCAATGTTTTCTTGGTGTATTGGCTGTTTAATTATTATATAATGCCCCTCTATGTCTCCAGTAATTTTATTTTATTTTTCTGAAGTTCATGCTATCTGATATGAATATAGCCACATCTACTTTCTTTTGGTTAATGTTTGCATGATATTCCTTCCTCATCTTTTTATTATTTATTTATTTTTCGAAAAATTTTTTGAGACAGGGTCATGTCCTGTTGCCTAGGCTGGAGTGCAGTGGTGTGATAATGGCTTACCACAGTCTCAACTCTCAACTCTTTAGGTGATCTTCCCACCTCAGCCTCCCGAGTAGCTGAGCCAACAGCTAATGCATGGTGGCACATGGTGGCATGTGCCACCATGCACAGCTAATTTATTGTTTTTTAAAATGTTTAGTATTGATGAGGTCTTGCTATGCTGCCCACGCTGGTCTTGAGCTCCTGGTCTCAAGCAATCCTCCCTCCTCAGCCTCCCAAAATGTTAGGATTACAGGCATGAGACACTATGCCTGGCTTATCCTTTTACTTTTATCTTTTAATCTATCATTTACTTGTGTTGTATTTGAAGTGAGTTTCTTATAGATAGCATGGACTTCGCTCATGTTTTAAAACCCCGTATACCAATCTCTTTTTTGTTTTGGAAGAAAAAACCTTGCTCTGTCACCCAGGCTGGAGTGCAGGCAGAATCTCAGCTCATGGCAACCTCTGCCACTGGGGTTCAAGCAATTCTCATGCCTCAGTCTCCCAAGTAGCTGGGACTACAGATGTGCACCATCACGTTTGGCTAATTTTTTAATTTTTAGTAGAGATCAGATTTCACCATGTTGGTCAGCCTGGTGTCAATTTTTTTTTTTACTTATTTTATTTTTAAGTACTCAGATCTTACACGAGTGGTTTTTATTTAAAAGTTTTCTGTCTTTTTAGGCTGCTGCTCTCCTGGTCCTTTGGCTGGACACAGCGGGCTTTTGTCGGGGCTCTTCTGGTCTGCATCCACTGATGTTTCCAGGTCAAAGCCTTCTTTAGCTCCAAGTCTGGAATATATGAGGCAATAGGAAAACCCAGAGAACTCACAGTTGAATTGTTTCTTGGGTCCTGAGGTCCCTAGGTGGTCTGCCTTCTTCTCTCCACCTTTCAGAGTCTTCTTAGGTTTGCTTTATGTCTACAACATCAGAGTTTTTATTTGTATTTAGGAGAAATAAGAAAATGTATGTTTTCTTCATCTTCCCTGAAGTGAATATTGCCCATATACACTTTCATAAATATTAAAACACTGGCCCTGGGTAATCTACAAAGACTACAGACTTTATGATTTTAACTATACCTGCATGGCATTCCAGAAAACACAAACTATGGAAACAGTAAAAAAATCAGTGGTTTCCAGAGGCTGGGGGAAAGGTGGGATGAGTAGGTGGAGCATAGGGATTTTTAGGCCAGGGAAACTATTCTATACGATACTATAAGGGTGGATATCTGCCATTATACATTTGTACAAACCCATAAAATGTACAATACAAAGAGTGAACCCTGTGGCTGGGCACAGTGGTTCACGCCTGTAATCCCAGCACTTTGGGAGGCTGAGGCAGTGGATCACCTGAGGTCAGGAGTTCGCGATCAGCCTGGCCAACATGGTGAAACCCTGTCTCTACTAAAAATACAAAACTTAGATGGGTATGGAGGCAGGCGCCTGTAATCTCAGCTACTCGGGAGGCTGAGGCAGGAGAATGGCTTGAACCTGGGAGGTGGAGGTTGCAGTGAGCCGCGGTCGCGCCATTGCACTCCCATTGCACTCCAGCCTTGGGGACAAGAGTGAGATTTCGTCTCAAAAAAAGAAAAAAAAAAGAGTGAACCCTAATGTAAATTATGGGCTTTGGGTGATAATGATGTGTCTATGTTGTTTCCTCATTCTACCAAAGGTAACCCTGGTAGGGGACCTTGGGGTGGGGGTGGGCTGAGTGTGTGATGGGGAGTATAAGGGGGGGTCTGTATTTTCTGCTCAATTTTGCTGTAAATCTAAAACTGCTCTTGAAAATAAAGTCCATTAATTAAAACAACTGGGTCCATATGATGGCAAAATGTGTGCTCTCACCTCCAGCTCACGACTCCCATTGTGGCTGCATTTAGCTACCCACACCTTGACCCTTTGGCTCCTAATTCTGCGAAACATTGGCCACTTTGCCTAAGCCCGAGGCTGTCCCACCTTCCTCAAGTTTGATCTGCTATCCCTGCTACCTCCCTCTTCCCCATGGCTTAGAAGCTCCTAAACTTGGTACCACACAGACTTGAGCGACAACTTCTCTAAGCCTCATTTCCCTCATCCATACAAAAGAAAATGCCACCAGATTATTGCTTAAGGTGCCAGGGTGGTGACAGACCCTACTAGGAAGTTTGTCTTCCCTTCCCCATCTTCCCAGGGCATTGCTCAGGGAGGCTGGCTCTGGAAAGGTGGTCCTTTCAGATGCCCCACACAAGAAGTAAGGAGAGGGGCTGAGGAAAAGAGGCGAGTGGGACATCCTCCGGGGACCTGCACACAGCAGCCGGCTGGCCAGCACCCTTCCTGCCACTGACACACCTCAAGATGTGTTTGTTTTCTGGGTCCTCCTCAGGGTCAGAGTGGGAACAGGGAGCACGTGGGGCTGTGGGGGACGGATGTTGTTTTTCAAGTGACAAGCGCGACCCTGTTTCCGATTCTCACAGGCAACCTGAATGCCCATCACATCAGGCAGGGAGAGCTGCCCAGATCTGACACTAACCCCTTGTGGAAGTGGCTGGCAGGCCCATGGGGTGAGGGGGGCCTCCTATGGGGCAGCGAAGGCGGAATGAATTTAGTGCCTGTTAATGAAGCGGGATTGGCAGCCGTTGAAACAAACTCTGTCTTTGTTCCTGACCGTACCTCCCAGACCAGGGTAGTGCCAGCTTTCTTCACTCCATCCTGTCCACATTCTTAAGCCCAACTCAGCTGGGAGGACAGGCACAGAGGCTCCCATGTTTTAAGCCCTAGAAGGGATCAGTTAATTTGTGTCTCGGAGACCCACAAGCAGCCTGCGGCCTGCACGGGTGGAGTCTTAGAGCTGAGAGTTGCCAAGATAGCAGCGTTCACACACTTGTGACTGCAGCCTACAGTGAGAAATAAATTTTGCATCATGACCCAGTGACACACACCCACCCACACCCCCAACACACATTCGTGTACACTCTCACACACAACCTAAACATTTTAAAAAATGAAAGAAATAGACTAGACAGTATCAGAGTGCAGCAAAGATAAATATTGTTTTGTGAAATGTGTGTATGTATGTATCTCTGTGTATGTGTTGAGTCACGCCTGATAGAAAGTGTATTTCTGACTGTGGATTGTGGTTAAAAAAAAATCAAAAGAAATTCATCTAGATCATTGTTTCTCCAACTATATAGCAAATCACCAGATTGGAGATTGACAAAACACTTTACCGTATTAAAGTCCCCCAAAATTCCCACAGAAAAGAAAATCTGTTGAACTTTGCTACTTTCCCGCTACTTTTCCTCCTAAATGCCAGCATTACTATGTCATGGAACTAATATTTCATAGAACACAGTCCTGCAAGGAATTTGAAAAATTCTCTAGAATTTCCACTGGAGTGTTTAGCCACAGGGTAAGAGGGAATCTGTTTCAACAAGTACAGAGCTACTAAATCTGTTATATTGTTGGTTGCCATGTAAGATTATTAATTTTTTAAAGTCCTCCTGCTAAAAAATGTTTGAAACCTACATGTATCATCCAGTTCTCTCATATTATGACTGGGGAAGTGACTGGGCCAAGGTCACCCAGTGAGGTCATGGAGAGCTGGAACTCAATTTTGCTGAGCTCTCAACTGGAACCCCCTGAACTCCACCTCCAGGGCCAGATAAATAAATGCCTTGATGCAGGGCGGTTAGGGGTGAGATCATGTATATGAAATATATATGAAACTTCTTTGAACAGGCAGACATTGTATAATAAATATAAGGCGCATACATCTTTTTTTCTAAGCCTCTGAAAAGAGATTCTGTAGTTTCAACCAGGAAGTTACCACCCCTATTGCATTGTAACTTAATGAAGTCTTTTTCCTATTTTCCAATTCTAAAGAAACTTGCTCATTGCTATATTAAAACAAATCCAAGAAGTAAGAATGCTTAGGAATCACTCGTTTTCTAACTAAAGCTCCATTATTGTTTTCCCAGAAGAGACTTTGTCTATATTGCATTCAAACCAGCAAAAATGTCTATTCCTCATCCACAGAGAAATAGAAGTAAAAATTGTTTTACACACAATAGTGTCTGTATCTAGCAATGCTCTTTCAACTTTTGTTGAATGGACAAACGCTTGGACAATGATTGTGTGTGCCACCAAACTACTCACTGTCCTTGGCCAGCCTGTTCTGTGCCCCAGGAGCAAATCTCTAGCGACTCTCTCAATGACTGCCTTGCTTTTTGGCTTTTGGTTGAGTTTGGCCCGATGAGCAGGGACTCAGAGGGTGGGGAAGAGTGGGTTTGGGTATTCATTCCCCTGGCTGCTTCCCTCTACTGGAGGTCACAGCTCCTGCCAGGCGGTGGGAAGCCACCCAGCCCGCCTGGTCCCTAGGTTCCCATAACCACTCTCTTTGGCCTGGGGGTCACTGCCCCCACAGATACTGATTTGTGGTTTCTCTGCATCCTGACTATACATTAGCAATTCCCTTGTTAACTCTTCCCAAGGTACCCTGTTTGACTGTTTGCTGGGGCCTTGACGTATACTCTGTTTTGTATTCTTTTTCTCTTAATATTGCATAATTTATTGCCTCCCCCTCTCCTGCCTCATTTAGTGTCTTGAGACTTGTTAAAGTACAGAAGACTCATATTTCTCTCTCCTTTCCCTTCCTTTTGTTGAGAGGCAACCATGGAGCTAGCAGGACTTGTTGACCCTGGGGTGCTTTAAAAAACTGAGGCCTGGGCCCCACCTGGAGATTCTGACTTACTGGGTCTGGGTGGGCCCCAGCACGTCTGTTACCAGAAACTCCCCAGCGAACCACTGATGAATGGAGGGAGGCCCGGCTCTGCAATTTGTCTCTGTGAGACCATAGACGAGTCCTCCCTGGGCTCCGTGCTCCACGTGTTGTGCGTGTGCGCATATGTGTGTGTGTGAGCGCGCGTGTGTGCGCGCGCGTATCTGTGTGTGTGCGCATGTGTCTGTGAGATGATCTTGGCTAATTCTGATCCCAGCGGCTGAGGCCAGAGAACCTGGGTTCTGACTGCATGCACCACTGCCCTCTTGTGGACATGGCACAGCTGTGACAGTTGCTGACACTTGTTCTCCCCTGTCACCAAGGTTAGGACTGACTAGTGCTTCAAGAGGTGATTTAGTCAAGCAGAGCCAAGACTGCGTTTAACCACTCCCTGAAGATAGCCATCTCCTTGTCTTTAACAGCCTTTACTGAAGACTTCATACTGTGTATTCTTGTTTTAAAAGTTGGTTAATTTGTTTAGAATTAGCTTTCTATGGTAAGGGGGTGAGTTGGAGTAATTGCTTTGTAGAATACCATGATTAAAAATCAGGTGGAGCATTTAGGAAAAAATCAAAAAGACCATCAAGTAGCTCCTGGGAGAGAGCCGCATAGCAGAGCGGCTGGGAGTCCCAGGGAGGAGGGAGCAAAGGTTCTGCCATCCAGCTGAGTTGCTGAGAATGTTCCCTCCCCTGCACACAGATGCCCCTCCTGAACCGCTTCTAACCTGCCACCCCTTGGAAATTTCCTCCTCTGGCGTCAGCCTCCTTTTGCCCCATCTTCTCTCAGTTCCTTCCTTCAAGCCCCCTCCTGAACTCTGTGTTCTCCTACACACGCACTCTTCTGTCTCCTTTTGTTCAACAGACTTCACTGGCCCATTCACAGGAAAAATGGTAACAATCTGTTAGCCGTTTTCATCAATTTATGTGAAATATTGTGCATTAATTACTAGTATTCCCTATGTCATATTATTATTGTTAGGGATGATGAAATACACCGTATTTCATATTATGGTATATGATAATATGAGTATACACAATTAATTACCAGTATATTTCATGTATGTATATGTTTGAGACAAAGTCTTGCTTTGTTGCCCAGCTGGAGTGCAGTGGTGATTCTCCTGCCTCAGCCTCCCAAGTAGCTGGGATTACAGGCATGTGCCACCACACTCAGCTAATTTTTTGTATTTGGTAGAGATGGGGTTTCACCATGTTGGTCAGGCTTGTCTCTACCTCCTGACCTCAGGTGATCCACACCTCCTTGGCCTCCCAAAGTGCTGGGATTACAGGCATAGGCTACTGCACCCAGCCTTGTACAATTTTTTTTTTTTTTTTTTTTTTTTTTTTTTTTTTTTAAGATGGGGTTTCACCATGATGGCCAGGCTGGTCTTGAACTCCTGACCTCAGGTGATCCACCCACCTCGGCCTCCCAAAGTGCTAGGATTACAGGCATGAGCCACCGCTTCCAGCCCGACGTGTACAACTTTTAACAGTAATTTTGAGTTCCTTGTGGTCTCTCCTGCTGCCTCCGTGCTGCCATTGTATGGGTTAACATGAGTCCATTCAACAGTGTTTATTCCTTGAGCACCTACTCTGTGCCAGGCAGTGTTCTATGTTCTGACTATACAGAAGGGAACAAAATTCTCTCTTTTCACATAAAGCTCAGATTCTGATGAGAGGTGAATGTATGTATAATCTGAGGGGATGGCTCGCTCTTTATCTGCTTCAACAATTCCTTCTGGAGCTTTGGAAATGGGAACAAGCCGCCAAGTATCATTTCTTTCATCATCTCCAACATTTTTTTCTTTTTCTTTTTTTTTTTTTTTGAAGCGATTTGCTCTGTTGCCAAGGCTGGAGAACAGTGGCACCATCTCAGTTCACTGCAAACTCCGCCTCCCGAGTTCAAGCGATTCGTGTGCCTCAGCCTCCTGAATAGCTGGGATTGCAGGAGTGCCACCATGCCCGGCTAATTTCTTTTTGTATTTTTAGTAGAAATAAGGTTTTGCTATGTTGGTCTTGAACTCCTGACCTCAGGTGATCCGCCTACCTTGGCCTCCCAAAGTGTTGGGATTAAAGGCGTGAGCCACTGTGCCTGGCCTATTTATTGGCAACTTCTGATGGTTGAGTTCAATGAACTATTCTATTAACTAAACTATTGGGTAACTTTTCTAGTACAGATATACTTTGTTTTATTGTGCTTTGTAGATGTTGCATTTTTTTACAAATTGGAGGTTTGTGGCAACCCTGCATCTAGCAATTCTATTGGCACCATTTTCCCAACAGCATGTGCTCACTTTGTGTCTCTATGCCACATTTTGGTAATTCTTGGAAAATTTTAAACTTCTTTATTATCATTATATCTGTTATTATGATGATCTGTGATCAATGATCTTTAATGTTACTATTGTAATTGTTTTGGGGTGTCATTAAGTGGTGCCCACATAAGATGATAAGCTTAACAGATAAAGGCTGGGCGCGGTGGCTCACGCCTGTAATCCCAGCACTTTGGAAGGCCGAGGCGGGCAGATCATCTGAGGTTGGGAGTTCGGGACCAGCCTGACCAACATGGAGAAACCTCGTCTCTAAAAAAAAGCAAAAAAACTTAACAGGTAAATGTCATGTGTATTCTCACTGCTCCACTGACTGTTTCCCCACCTCTCTATCTCTCTCCTTGGGCCTCCCTATTCTCTGAGACTCAATGATATTAAAATTAGGCCAATTAATAACCCTACAGTGGCCTCTTAGTGTCCAAGTGAAAGGAAGAGTTGTGCATCTCTAACTTTAAATCTAAAGCTAGAAGTGATAAAGCTGAGTGAGGAAGTCATACCAAAAGCTGAGATAGACTGAAAGCTAGGCCTCTTGTGCCAGTTAGCCAACTTGTGAATGCAAAGGAAAATTTATTGAAGGAAACTAAAAGTTCTATGCCAGTGAATACTTGAGTGATAAGCAAGCAAACAACCTTATTGCTGATATGAAAAAAGTTTTAGTGGTTTCAATAGAAGATCAAACCAGCCACAACATTCCCTTAAGCCAAAGCTTAATCCAGAGCAAGGCCCTAACTCTTCAATTCTATGAAAGCTGAGAGAGGCAAGAAAGCTGCAGAAGAAAAGTTGAAAGCTATCAGAGGTTGCTTTGTGAGGTTTAAGGAAAGAAGTCATCTCTATGACATCAAAGTCCAAGGTGATGAAGCAAGTGCTGATGGAGAAGTTGCAGCAAGTTGTCCAGAAGATCTAGCTAAGATAACTAATGAAAGTGGCTACGTCAAACAACGTATTTTTAATGTAGACAAAATAGCCTTCTATTGGAAGAAGACACCATCTTTCATAGCTATACAGAAGAAGTCAACGCCTGGCTTCAAAGCTTCAAAGGGCAGGCTGACTCTCTTGTTAGGGGATAGTGCAGATGGTGACTCATTCTAAAGATCCTAGGGCTCTTAAACGTTATGCTAAATCTACTGTGCCTGTGCTATGAAAAAAAAAGAAAGTCAATCCTCTCAAACCCTGCTGCTGCTTTATCAACCAAGTTTATGTAATAATCTAGATCCTTTGTTGTCATTAAAACAATGTTCATAGCATCTTTACCAGGAGTAGATTCCATCTCAAGAAACATCTTTCTTTGCTAATCCATAAGAAAAGCAAGTCCTCATCCTTACAAGTTTTATCATGAGAGTGCAGCAGGTCAGTCACATCTTCAGTTTCTGCTTCTAGGTCTCTTGGAACTAGAACATGGAATAACAAAGCCTGGATGACAGCACATCTGTTAACAGCATGTTTTACTGGATATTTTAAGGCCACTGTTGAGACCTACTTCTCAGAAACAAAAAATCCTTTCAAAATATTACTGCTTATTCACAATGCCTGATCACCCAAGAGCTCTGATGAAGATGTGCAAGGAGATAAATGTTGTTTTCATGCCTGCTAACAGAACACCCATTCTCAGACCATGGATCAAGAAGTAATTTCAACTTTCACATCTTATTATTTAAGAAACACATTTCATGTGGTTGCAGATAGCATTTTTTTTCCCTGATGGATCCGAGCAAAGTAAATTGAGAATCTTCTGGAAAGGATTTACCATTTTAGATGATCTCATTAAGAACATTTTTGATTCATGGGAAGAGGTCAAAATATCAACCTTAATAGACATTTGGAAGAAGTTGAATCCAACTCTCATGTGTGGCTTTGAGGAGTGGAAGACTTCAGTGGAGGAAGGAACTGCTGATGTGGTGGGAATAGCAAGAGAGCTAGAAGTGGAGCCTGAAGATGTGACTGACCTGCTGCACTCTCATGAGAAAACTTGTAAGGATGAGAACTTACTTTTCTTATAGATTAGCAAAGAAAGATGTTTCTTGAGATGGAAACTACTCCTGGTAAAGATGCTGTGAGCGTCGTTTTAATGACAACAAAGGATCTAGAATATTACATAAACTTAGTTGATAAAGCAGCGGCAGGGTTTGAGAGGATTGACCCATTTTTGTTTTTGAAAGACAGGATCTGGGACTCCTGGTCTCAAGTGATCCTCCTTCCTGAGCCTCCCGTGTAGCTGGGATTACATTTGAGTGCCACCTTGCCTGGCTGATGCCAATTTTGAAATAAGTTTCCTTGTGAGTAAAATACTATCAAACAGCATCACATGCAACAGAGAAATCTTTTGTGAAAGGAAGAGTCAATCAATGTGGCAAACTTCATTGTTGTCTTATTTTAAGAAACTGCCCCAGCCACCTCAAGATTCTCCATCAGCAAAAAGATTACAAGTCACTGCAGGCTCCCATGATCATTAGCATTTTTTAGCAATGAAACATTTTTAAATTAATGTATGTACATTGTTTTAGACAAAATGCTATTGCACATTTACTAGATTACAGTATAGTGTAAACATAAAGTTTATATGCACTGGGAAACAAAAAATTCGTGTGACTCCCTTTTTTGTGATACTCACTTTATTGCAGTGGTCTGGAACCAAACCTGCAGTATCTCCAAGGTATGTCTGTAGTTGAAGTGACAGTAAGAAGAAGAGGAAAGGAATGCAACTTTCCATTGTTGAACTTGTTCTCATAGGGCCCCTGGTTCTTGTACAAAGGTGTGAGTCTAACTCATGCTGCATTGAGGCAGGTTAACATAGTGGGATGGAGACTCACAGATCTGGGTTCAAATTATGGTTTTGCCACATATATCTACTCAGTTTGGGGCAAATCTCTTAACCTCTCCAAGGCTGATTCCCTGCATGCGCCCACCCCTACCTCTTACAGAATGAAGAAAGTGACAACAATTACCTAAGAGGCTTGGAGTAGTCAGTAAATGAGATTATAGATGTATGGGTGTGAGTTTGTGTGTGTATATTTGTGTGTATATGTATTTATACAAGTGCTTGATATAGTGCCTGGCACAAAGCTCAATAAATAGTAGCTATTATTACTGAATATAATTGAGTGTTTCTTAATTTTCACATGTCATATGGACTTCTAGATTAATTCCACTGTCATCAGAGAACATATTGCAGATAGTTTGACAAGGACTGAAACAAGGAAAATACAGGTTGATACCGGTAAATATAACAGGAACACCTGGCAGTTAGGCAGGCTGCCTGGAGAGTGGCTATAAGCATACAACTGAAGGAGAAGTGGGATATTCTACCAGAGAAGGTACGTAGGTAGGTGTGTGTGTGTTGGCCAGAGTAGTGGCTGAAGGACTTCAGCCTCATGGGGAGGCCCATATGTGTAATTTAGTAGGTTCAGTGTAATTTAGTAAATGTTATGATGAAGGGAAGCTTGGGAATTTGGGGAGCACAGCAAAGCCTAATGGATCTGCTTCCTGAAGTTATGGGTAAATAACGCTAAACAATATGCCCCAATAATGAAGCTTGTGGGTCTCAGACTTGGATTTGAATCCTCTTCTTCCTCTTAATAATCTTTTTTTGGGCAAGACAGTAACCTCTAAGTCTCAGTTTTCTCATCTATACAATGGGGTTAAAAATCTCTGCCTCGGACAATCAATATGAAGTCATCTGAGGTAATGTATGCCAAACAATTAGCACAAGGTAAGTATCAGGGCTCTGTTAGTGGGAGTGCGTGTGGGTTTTTACAGTGTCATCTGGCCCACTATGGGACTGTCTGCTGCTACAGAATACCCAGGAAGCATCAGGTAGAGAGGGCAGTAGACGAGAATATCCAGGAACCTTCCAGAAGGAGCCTATGGGCACAGCACACTGTAGCCATGGTAGACCCCACCAAGCTTGTGATTGCTGAACAGCTGCATGTGTGGAGCATCAGTTCCAGAGGATTTAGACCCTTTTCCCAGCTCTGCATAGGCTCGTTCAGTGAACTTAGTCTTCCTGGGTCTCCATTTCCCTAAGTAAAAAATGCAAAGGGAATTTTCAAGGTAAATTGGATTCCTGCCTCTCTCTCTCCCATGCATGGAGAACTAGATTAAGAAAAATTCAGAAGCTTTGTCCACATTCAATAGGATGGAGCATTCAGATGACTCTGGGGTTGGCAGTGAGTGGCACCGGCACGTTAGCCATGTACTTCCCATCTCTGGCTCACCAGTTGGCCCCTAAAGCTTGCTGTGTGCTTATTTTGTATCAGACACCATATGTACATATATGTTTCACTCTTGTTGCCCAGGCTGAAGTGCAGTGGCGTGATCTCTGCTCACTGCAACCTTCACCTCCCAGGTTCAAGCGATTCTCCTGCCTCAGCCTCCTGAGTAGCTGGGGTTACAGGCACTTGCCACCACGCCCTGCTAATTTTTTGTATTTTTAGTAGAGACAGTGTTTCTCTGTGTTGGTCACGCTGGTCTCGAATTCCCAACCTCAGGTGATCTGCCTGCCTCAGCCTCCCAAACTGCTTGGATTACAGGGGCAAGCCACCGTGCCCAGCCGCAGACACCATATTAAGTGCCTTAGGTGAGTTATATCATTTAACTCTCTTAGTAGGTACTATTACAGCTAGTGCTTGACTTACGACCACGGTCGGGACTGCGGACCAGTCGGGACCGCGGACCGGTCGTAACATGATTTGGTCGTAAGTTGAGTAGGCTATATGTACAGTTGAAATGGTGCACGCAGAGATAGTAGTGCTGCCGGAAGCTGGTCCACACTGTCGTACGCCCAGCTGGGCAACGTTTGCGCTGCCAGACGTGGAGCAGTCGTGGCTAACGATTGTGGTCGTAAAGTCGAATGGTCGTAAGTTGCATAGGTGGTAAGTCGATCAATACCTGTATTGTAAGTACTTACTAAAGCAGGTACTATTATTATCCTCATTTTACAGATGAGGAATCTAGCACAGAGAGGTTAAGCAATTTGCCTTATGTCCCATAGTCATTAGTTGTGGTCAGTGTCTCTTCCAGCTCTTGTAGTCTACCTAGACTGGAAGCTCTTTTTGAGGAGGAGCCTTATCATATTATTTTTGAGTCCCCAAAGCCTAGAAGGCTTTCAGACTGTGTTTACTGCTTTGCTGAAGTCAGTGGTTTTAACCGTAAATCAGAGGTCCAAAACACAGAATCACTTGGTGAGCTTAAAAAGTGGTTCATGCTGGCCAGGAGTGGTGGCTCACACCTGTAATCCCAGCATTTTGGGAAGCGGAGGCAGGTGGATCACCTGAGGTCAGGAGTTTGAGGACAGCCTAGCTAACATGATGAAACCCTCTCTCTACTAAAAATACAAAAATCAGCTGGGCGTGGTGGTGGGTGCCTGTAATCCCAGCTACTTGGGAGGCTGAAGCAGGAGAATTGCTTGAACCTGGGAAGGGGAGGTTGCAGTGAGCTGAGACCATGCCATTGCACTTTAGCCTGGGCAACGAGAGTGAAACTCTGTTTCAAAAAGAGGCAGTTCATGCCTGGGCTAGTCTCAGATCACTTGGATCCCATGCCTTATGTGTCTAATGGAGAACCATGAAGTTAATATTCTGATTATTAGTATTATTTTTGAGACAAGACTTTGCTCTGTTGCCCAGGCTAGAGTGCAGTGATGCAATAACTCACTGCAGCCTCAAACTCCTGCGCTCAAGTGATCCTCCTACCTCAGCTTTCCGAGTAGCTGGGACTACAGGCAATGCACCATCATTTCCAGCTCATTTTTAAAAAAATTTTTAGAGATGGGGTCTTGCTATGTTGTCCAGTCTGGTCTCAAGCTTCTGGCCTCAAATGATCCTCCAACCTTGGCTTCCCAAAGTGTTGGTGTCACAAGCGTAAGCACCCGGACAATATTCTGATTCTTTACCAAATTGCTAGCCCTTCTCCCCTCTTTCTGCTTCTTGGCACTGGAGGGTGCTGTTGGATAGTTTAAAACGTAGTATTTCTTCCATCCTGAGTTTGGTATTTTTTTTTTTTTTTTTTGAATTGGTCTTGTGTATTTCCTCTCAAAACCTTGGTGGAGAGTTGCTGAAATGGACAACATCCTGAACTAGCCTTCCTGTGGTTCTCTTCTGAATGTTAACCATTGGTGTTTAGGCAGGCAGATATAGCAAGTTTCTAGTGACCCTGCGGTTTAATTTTTTCTTCAGCCTTTCTCCAGGAGCAGTTTGTCTTTGTTCAGGAGGATGGTGTTTATAAGGAATTATGTGAGGTGTGGCAGGCTGAATAATGGACCCCCAAAGATGCTCACGTCCCAGTCCCCACAAACCTGTGAATCTGTTACCTCACTTTGCAGGAGGGACCTTGCAGATATGATTAAGGATCTTGAGAGGAAGATTATCCTGGTGGACCCTAGGTAACCACAGGGGTCCTTAAATGCTGGAAGGAGAAGGCAGGAGGTTAGGATAAGGGACGGAGAGTTGAGAATAAAGGGAAGCGTCAGAGTCAGAGAGCTGTGAACGTGCCCCACTGCTGGCTTTGAAGACAGAGGAAGGCGCTGCCAGTCACGGAATGAAGGAAGCCTGTAGAGCTGGCAGTGGGTTTTCCTCTAGAGCTTCCAAAAGGAAGCAGGCTCTGCTGACACCTAGATTTTAGCTCAGTGAAACCCATTTTGAACTCCTGACTTACAGAATAGTAATATATTAAGATTGCATTGTTTTAAGACACTGTGTGGTAATTTTAATTTTCATCTTTGCAAAGATCCTGAAAATTACAGGAATAAAATTGTTACCCTTGATTTAACAAATGGGGAAAGAGAGACCTACATTTTGAGTTACTTTCTCGGTGACACCGAAAACTCAAGGCAGGGTGGTGACAAGGCCCCACGTTTCTCGATTTCTGCTTTGTTCTCGTCACTAGAGCATAGATTGCAAAATGTCATCACAGGCAAACTCCTTAGAAGTCATCTAGCTCAGGGATGGCAAATAGGTTTTATTTGCTTCATGTGCCAGCTCTGGCCTATTGGTGGCACTGTACTGTGTCCTGCTTGCTGGATAAGGGTGCTGTGATTGATTAGCAAAGTATGCACTGGCTTTGGATGGGTAAGTGTCCTGTGGCAACATGTGTGGCATGTACTTGCTGTACCTCAACGCGTCCAACCCTCTCATTTAACCAACTAA